TATATATATATGGAGAAATTAGTGGGTACCCATCCCCAACTCATCCCCTGTGGATATTTAAAAAATATCACTTACCCTACCCAATGGATAAGAAAAAGAAGAAAAAATCCATGTATGTATTTGGGTTGGGTCTCCATGGATACCCACAAGGTATGTTATCCATTGTCATCCCTACCTCGCAGGGTCCACTACCACCACCACCTCCACCTCCGCCTCCGCTTCCGCCACTTTTCTTCCTCTGAGTGGAATCGCCGACAGCTCCACCTCTCTCTTCACTTCCCTACGCTTGGCTCTCTCCAAGGTCAGTCAGTCAGTCAATTTCGTATAATCTTCTTCAACTTCCCTGTTATTCACTGCAATTGTTTATGAAATTTCTAGGGGTGCAACTCGGGCGGGTTCGGTCGGGTTGGGGGTCTGCCCAAGCCCGACCCGAATTGTATTTGGCACTGCCCAAGCCCGAACCATCCCATACCATAATATAAATAAAAAAATAACCAAACACAACTTACCAAGCAAACAAATTATAAACATTATAAACAACTAACTAGAAAAATAAATAAATTATAAACAAACCAAATGCAACTTACCAAGCAAAACCATCCCATACCATAATATAAATAAAAAAATAACCAAACACAACTTACCAAGCAAACAAATTATAAACATTATAAACAACTAACTAGAAAAATAAATAAATTATAAACAAACCAAATGCAACTTACCAAGCAAAACCATCCCATACCATAATATAAATAAAAAAATAACCAAACACAACTTACCAAGCAAACAAATTATAAACATTATAAACAACTAACTAGAAAAATAAATAAATTATAAACAAACCAAATGCAACTTACCAAGCAAAACCATCCCATACCATAATATAAATAAAAAAATAACCAAACACAACTTACCAAGCAAACAAATTATAAACATTATAAACAACTAACTAGAAAAATAAATAAATTATAAACAAACCAAATGCAACTTACCAAGCAAAACCATCCCATACCATAATATAAATAAAAAAATAACCAAACACAACTTACCAAGCAAACAAATTATAAACATTATAAACAACTAACTAGAAAAATAAATAAATTATAAACAAACCAAATGCAACTTACCAAGCAAAACCATCCCATACCATAATATAAATAAAAAAATAACCAAACACAACTTACCAAGCAAACAAATTATAAACATTATAAACAACTAACTAGAAAAATAAATAAATTATAAACAAACCAAATGCAACTTACCAAGCAAAACCATCCCATACCATAATATAAATAAAAAAATAACCAAACACAACTTACCAAGCAAACAAATTATAAACATTATAAACAACTAACTAGAAAAATAAATAAATTATAAACAAACCAAATGCAACTTACCAAGCAAAACCATCCCATACCATAATATAAATAAAAAAATAACCATAAAGAAAAGAAAAGAATAACATAATATAATATAAACAAACCATTTGAGGAGGAAAAAAAATAACATAATATAACATAAACAAACCAAACAAAGCAAACCGGACAGCAGCAAACCCATTTGAAGAAGCAAAACCATAAAATAATATAATATAACATAATATAATATAAACAAACCTATCAAAAGCAAAACCATTTGAAGTGTTCAGCCCAAGCAAAAAGCAGAGCACGAAACAAATGTAAACAGAGCATGAGAGAAAAACCTTCAATGAAGGAACTTGAAATCGGTGATGGTTTGGGTTCGATTCGATGCTTCTCCTTGCAACACTTTACAAGATCGATGCCCCTGGAAGATGGATTTGGGTTTGATTGGGGAGTTGAGTTTGGTCCGATTGAGGGAAAACTTTGGGGAGTTGAGTTGAGTTTGGTCCGATTGGGTTTGATTTGGGTTTGAGGTTTGGTCCGATTTGATGCTTCTCCAGGTGATTTGTTTTTCCATGTGACTTGCTTTCCTCAATTATTTTTCCATATGCTTTGCTCGTTTTTCAGCCGAATCGGACTATATCGGAATTGGAACGCTCACGTATCGGATACAAGCCGATACGTAGCGGGAATCGGCCGTTACGGACGCGAAATTCATTCTCACCGGTATACCGGTGAGTATCCGACTCGGTGGTGGCATATTCCGGTACGAACCGGCCGGTACGGAACGTACCGGCCGATATTTAGAACCTTGTCAAGAACCGATTTTCCAGCAAAAATTGATGGTGGATATCTTTGTTGCAACTTTACGATGAACCATTTTTCCTTATTTGGTATGGCGAAAATGTTGAGTGAAAATTTGATGTATACAGTTTGTTTGACATTGTTGAAGTGGAATCGCCGATTGAACTGGTTTAGCCGTGTAGCTGGAACTGATTTGCAATGTGGGTGGGTAAGGCTTTGCTGGCGACTAACCGATGCAAGTTTGTCTTTTCCGACATAACCTTGCCTCTTCTCCGATACTGGTTTGGTTCTACTCCGACTCAGGCTATGTTTTGGTAGGTTCAAATTTATGGCTACCTTGCTGGTTTTCCCGGCATTGTGAAGTTATGTTTTGCGCCGGTGGTGTGCGAGTGAGAGCAAATTGACTTTTTTGCCCTTAAAAACTCTGCACGTGTTGTCCACGTGCAAATTTTCCGTCCAATTTCTTAACTTCCGTTTTCAATTGGACCAAAATGATACAAAATTCAAAATTTAAGGTCAAAATCAAGCAAATTGAAATTAGAGAGACCAAAATGACACAATGTATAAACTACATGGACTATTTGGGTAGTTTGCCTTAAATTTAATATGAAAGGCTATTATGTACATCTAAAAATAGTGTATATGTGTTACACACTTTATATACAAAAATTATAATATTTTGTTATTCACAAAAAAATATAATTTTTATCATAAAAAACATAACTTGGTCAATCATAACTTAAGGGGTACACATCACACCTTTCACCACAAAATTTTTTACTTTTCTTATGCTGCTTTTTTGTAGAGGTGTACATTGTTACATTTCCCAAATTTTATAGATTTACCATTCTATTGACAAAATTAATTCAAACTAATCCAATTGCAACCAAAAACAAAATGTTAGGATGTTAATACCGTAGCTTCAATTAAATAGTCAATAAAACTCGTATATTTTTTTTACTCACTAATGTGGTACTTATAATATAATTAAGATAGATTATGTTTCAGTTTTTAAAATGCATTATTGCATGACATATGAATTAGTAAAAAAATTATAAAATCTATTTAGTTTGTATAATATTTTCTTTCTAAAAGACTTGGGGGGGGGGGAATTGTATAAATTTGATTGCTATTTTTACCAATAATACAAACCCCGAAAACTAATTTTTTTTGTTTCCCCGGATTCAATTTGTTATAATCCAAAACTTTTGAATACAACTATACATATATTACTAAACCTTTTTGGAAGTCCAGTGTAGCTCTACCCTTTGCACATGTCAGCATATTATTGATATAATGAGGCTCACCATTTATGTTTTTCTCTAATATACTGTTCACATATGAGATTGTACACTAAACGTGGTATTAAAGGGGAAAATATTATGAAATTGTGTTCTAAATTTTATCTCAAAAATGAGATGCATGGTATAAATCGAAAATTAGTGCAATGTCGTACTTGAATGATTATGATTAAAAGATGTGCATTTCTGCCTAATATATTTTTTTTAAAATTCTTAATATTATTGAAAAAAAAACAAAAAGAAGAAGATAAATGTAGCATTACCGCTTGTACTTAACAATCGACTTTACCACAGCAGTAAGTTTTTTTTTTTTTTTCTTGGACAAAATTCATTATATCCTCTTATAGTTTGACCTCAAAGTAAATAGCCGAAGAGACCCCATTGATCATCTTGCAGTTAACTTCCTTACCGTTATTTATTCTGCCAAACTTGATAGAATTTACATGCTAACTTTGATAGTGAATACAAAAAAGCAATGTCAGATTCTATTGTAAAAGGTCAAATTTGCCCTTTATTTTCTTCATCTTCTTCCTACTTCAAAACCAAAACCCAAACCCGAATACACTCAACTTCCCCATCCACTTCCCTCTTTCTCAACCACCTGCCTCTCTCACATCCAACCATTTCCTCTCACACTAATCACTGCGAACTCTCCCCATCCCAAATCCATGATTTGTTCATATTGATTTTTTGGTTATTTGCATCAATAGAATGAAGACGTGGACAGTTGCAATATTGAGTTAATGGTGGTGACTGAGAAGTAATATTACACATATTCTAGAAAGAGATCAGATTTAAAGATTCAATTAAACAGGACCTCCACTCCACTGATTTGCAGCCCCATTAATTCGCAAATCTCCAATACCAATTAAAACATTCTCTACTACCAACAATAAATCTTTCACCTGTTATTTTTCATAAATAGACATATATGTATGTATACATTTATATGTGTAACTTTGTATATATATGTATGCATGTATACATTTATAGTTTAAATTTTGATGCTACTTCCATTAAAATTCAATACATAAATATTTTTTATTCAATTAAATATAAAAATACAATTAAGATTTCCATTAAAATTGATGGTGGTGCTTCTGTCGAATACATATAAATGGTGATTTTTTTTCTGTTAATAGAAGAACAAAGGAGAAAAACACGGGTACCGAAATGAGGAAAAAGAAGTCCTTTTGCATCTTTCGTTAATTATGTTAATTGTGCATTTTAATCTAAAACCACGTGGAAGTCAATTGCATATTTTTTAAAGAATAATGTTAAGGATCATGAAAAAGTATTATGAAATGTATCGTGAAAATTTTTCATCATTTGATTAGTATATGATGTTTTATTGTATGTGTAATTCAAAGGTGAAGAATCTTCTATGATCAAACTCATAATATTTTTTTCATGATCCGGGTAAAGTGCTCTGGAGCAATACCACATGATGTAAAATGAATTTTACCCCCTTTTTATTTTTATTTTTTATACATCATTAGAAACCAACACACGCACACGGAGAGAGAGAGGTGACCTGAATGGTGTGGTTCTTGAGTAAAGGATGGTCAAAAGCTGGCTGATGAGAGATATGGACACAATCGATTATATCTCCATCTGGACTCTGTATTTTTTCACAACAAAACATTAATGGAAAATCAATACATACATGCATACAAAAACATGCAAATATATATATATATATATAGAGAGAGAGAGAGAGAGAGAGAGGACCTTGATGGATTTAAGAGCAGGCTTGTTCAATTGCTTCAACTGCTTGTAAACATCATCAAGTTTATTACCAGAAATGCTTACTATGCCACCATTACACAGTAGTGTAAGCACTAATAACCACCGCTGCACCACCACAACAACACCATGAGTGATCATGATGATCAACACAATACACTCTCTCTCAATGCTGATTCTGCTACTTCTTATCCTACAAGTTCATACCCAAACATGAATTCCTCTATAAATAGCAATCAACAATGCAATGGAAAATCATTTGGTAGTCTTGGAGCAAATATGGGGGTGCCCTTATGGGAAATTATTCAATACTCCCGGAGTATCACGTGATCATACTCCAAGTCAATCACCAATTACTTAATCTCATATTATTTCTACATCCCCAACATAAATTGTGGGCCCTTACGCTTCTCCACCAATCAAAATATTATAGAGCAACACGTGTCCATATTACGGAAGTATTGAATAATCACACATACATAGTTTTGAATTGATTGATTGAAATAGTGCGATTAAAAAATTGACAAGTGTCATCTTATGATTGGTGATAAATAATGGTCCAAGATGACCAAATAACTACGGAGTCTCCGTAGCATATTTGTAATGGAGAGATTTCCATTCATTATTCAACAGTAATATAATAATCTTTTTTAAATTAAATTAATTATAAATTTGTCTTCCTATTTCATAGCCACTAAATATGTAATATAAATCCTCCATTATATATGAAATGAAGAAAATCTCAGTCCAGCATTATTGGATCTTTCGTGGTTGCGACCTTTTTTTTTTTTTTTGTTGCATTTTGTATTTTGCATTTTGGATTTTGCCTTGAAGGATCAGTTGAATTATGACTCCAATGCCCATAAAAGTATGTAATTTTATAATAACAAAATCCAAATATATGATTTTATAGTTGAGGGGGCAAAAAAATTGTACAAATGCCTATTTTTCCTTTGGACACTCGCTACAAAAATTAGATTCTTGGTAAGAGATAAGCAAATAAGAAGCTAGTTTTAAAAAAAATTGAAATTTATTTGGAATGATTTTCTTTGGACACTATCTAAAAAGCTAGCTTCTTGGTAAAAAAATAAGAAAAATTAGTGAAACATCTCTCTCCAACTTTGTGTAATAGGAGAGGTTTAAAAGTTTTTTATTTTTTTTATTTGTTACAGTCCCTCAATGAAATCAGAGAAATATCTCTGTAAAACTTGAAATTTCTCCGACTTGAATTTTCTTTTTGAAAATGTTGAGAAATTTTAACTACTATAAAAATAGTGTCATTTATCTTAAAAAAATGTTAATATTAAGGACATTAAAAAAAATTTCCCTAAAAAATAAGCAAATAAAAAACCTAGTTTTAAAAAGACTAAAATATATTTGAATTGATTTTTTAAAAACTGTTTTTAGGCGGGTTTCATCCAGTTTTAGTGATTTTTTTAATATTTTAGTCAAAATACATACACTTTTTAGGTACATCAAGATTACATACAAAAATAAAAATTCAAAAAAAAAAAAATACATACATTCATGCTTTTGTTCAAATTTTAATTTGTTTCAGTGAAAATTTTTCATATTTTAGTGTATTCATTTTACTTTTCAGATGCATCTAAATTATGTGCATCTAAAAGTAAAAATTTTAAAAAAAATAAATATGAAGAAAAAAAAAAGTTCTCTAAAAATAAACAGGAAACACGTCTAAAAATAATTTTTGAAAAATCAAACTAAACTTAATCTTTATTTTTTTTTTGAATATTTTTAATTTCTTTGACTTGTTTAATAACTTTTTAGAGTGAGCAAAATCTTCTTTTTGACAGAAAACAAGTTTCAAATGGCCTACAATTATGTTTAGCAATCCAAAAGAAGCCTAAAAAATAAAATTAGGATAGATTACATTCACCTTCCTAGGGATTTGAAAAATACACTGTTAACCCCCACACTTTTAATATAATTACACTGACCTTCATCAACGTTTTCACATAACACTTAGGCCTCGTTTGGGAAGCGACCCGTTTAGTCAAAAAGTCACTAAAAAAATCAAAAAGCCAACAACCCATACCAAAAAGTCAAAGATTCTCTTCTCTCTATTTTTTGCATATCTTTTCGTAAAAAGTCAAAAAGTCATTCCAAACATACTAGTTTTTTTTTGCTCATAATTTAGCCAAATAGTCAAAAAGTTACTAAATTAGCATGTTCCCAAACGAGACCTTAGATCATTTTTCATTAATAATTTGTTAATTGTATGAACAAAAAAATAATATTATCCTCTATTTCCTATTAAAAAATATGTATTTCATGTTTATTTCAGTGTCTACTCACCATTTGCATTAGTTTTGATCACTTTAACCATACTAAAAATGAGATAAATGTAATTATGTCAAAAATATGGGGCCAATTGTATTTTTCTCAAATCGTAATGAAGATTAATGTAATTTATCAAAAAAAAATTTAGGTACTACTAAAGTAACTATGTATGATGCTTTAACCTGATAAAGATTAATTTAAATAGCAATGCAAGTATATAATTATGATGTTCAATTAATTTAAAATTATACTCACTTTTTAAATCCGTGATGTGTATATCTAAGGCAACATTTTCTCTCATATTTTCTCTACTCATCAACGAATCATCTCACTTATATATCAAATTTATACAATAAATTTATATATCATTTTCTATTTAATTAACCCAAAACACACAACATTTTATTGATAAATATAAAATATTATAAAGACAGAAAAGAAAGAACACTTCAAACAACATCCCCCGCGTTCAAAAATAAATAAATAAATAACTACAACAACAACAACATCTCCCAAAACCAATTAAAACATATGGCTCAAATTTTAAAAAAATAAAAATAATAGATTAAAGAAGCTTTCTTGGAAGGTTGCCTTGTCATGCAATAATTTGGACGATATGGTAAATCAGAAATGATGAGAATCATTCATATATATATATATATATATATAATTAAAAATAATGCTTATTTTCAATTTCTTTCTCTTTTTTATGTGCCATATTACTCTTCTCTTCTTTTTTTCTCTTTCTTATGTTGCATCACTTTTTGCTCTTTCTTATGTTGCATCACTTTTTTGTTGAATCTTGTAGATCTTGTTAAATACTGTTAACTGAACCCTGAGCCCAATAGGGGGCTTTGGGGGCCTCTCCCAATTTTTTTGGATATTTTGGTAATTTTCCTATTGCTTCAATGTTGCCCTAATTATATACACCTACTTATAAATAGATGAAGCAGCGTCTCTTTTCTGTAAGAGAGTGTTGTATTGTTTTCTGATCATAGTGAAAATTGCAGTAGTCGTGAACGTAACTTCATTCTAAGATGAACCACATAAATCGTTGTCTTCTTGTGTGCGTGATTTGTCTGATTCGTTTTATTTTTCTTATTTGTTTGGTATTTCGTATCTTACCGATCCTAACTAGGAAGAGTCAACTCTTAACATCTTCTCTCCTACTTTTTAAAAATGCCACATAATATACTCTTATACCTAATTAGTGCTAAAATCTAATATGTAAAAGAATTCTACTTAATCTGAACTCATATAGAATTAATACTTTATGAATTATTTTTTTTTATTAAATGTTTACAGATATTTTATTATTTTTTCTTCTACCTTATTAATATCTTATAATTAATTTATATTGATTTTTCTATTTAAGAAGAAGTTTTTTATTAAGAAATTTTTATATTTAATTTAAATTTTATATATCTATATACAATACTTATAAATAATTCAAAAAGAGTATTAAAGAAAAAATCAATATTCTACATAATTAATTTATGTATTTTCTTCTTAATCTAACTACAATATATTTATATTTAATTTTTTAAATAAACTTTTCATAATTATTTACTTTTCTTTTATATTCATTTGAAAAATAAAAATATGTAGAAATAGAAATAAATAAATTTTATTTTATGTTACTAATTCTCTTTCCAATTTAACTATTATTTTTAATATCAAAATGAGTGTTTATTTTACTATCTTATAATTTAGCATATATCATATAAAATTATTATACGATAATTATACTTTTATACCATGATGCGACTTTTATAGCATGATACGATTAAAATTATCAAAATACATAAATAATTTAACTAAAACTATTATATATAAGTATTCAAGGAATACTTTTATAGAACGATAGGATTAAGTTTTTCAAAATAAATAATTAGAATCAAACTTGAATTTTAAATTAAAATTAATATTATTCTTGTTATAACACATACATCATATGTAAAATATTATTTAAAAAAAGAAAAATTACAAACACATCACCTGAGGTTTGCTTAAAATACGAATTGCTCCCTATGATTCTGAAAATTACATCCCACCTCCTGATGTTTCTAATTCCATAACACATGGCCCCTTTTACTTATAAATCATTAAGTTAATTAACAATTTTTAATAATATTAAATATTTATTTTAATTAATAATTCAATTAATTTTATTATTATATAGAATAACAGTTAGAAATTTATCTTATCAATTAATTTTATTAAAAAAAATCTGACAAAGAGATATTTATAATTTTTTAAATCATATGAAACAATCTGTATTTTAAATAAATCTCATAAAATATTTATAATTTACCCTTAAAAAAAAGAATAATACTACAAACTCCCCATTATCAATTCAAAAAGTATTCATAAATTAATTTCCATCACATCTTATATTAAACTCACATAAATCTCACGCTACATAATTTAATTTGTACTACACAATCACTCACCTGCAAAATTTTAGATAGACTTTCGCTAAAAAAAATTAAGCCGTAGATAGCACGGGTCAATTGAGTCGGTTCAAATTGTGAAGGACCCATATTGAAAGGAATCTTCTTGGATTAACGCAGCTGAATGGTCAAAGGGACCCATAATAGAAAGAATAATATTAGAGACTCTCAAATTGTATGATTTCTATCGCCTCTAATTAATTTGTGATCACATGTTATTTGTTTATTTGTTTATTTTTTCTCTCTCCTCTCACTTTGTGCGGAGGGTGTGTGAAAGTCCTATTACAGCTGTAATGGAAAACGATCATCTTGGATTGACAGGCAGGAATTGATTTAGGGAAAATATTTGGTAGTTCAAAATTTTGTGATTTAAATGGTTTAAATTTGTCAAAACGACATCATTTTACATTCAAAATCTGTCAAAACGACGTCGTTTTGAGTGATTTGAGCCATTTAAACCACAAGATTTTGACCTACCTAGCATTGTTGTTGACGTAGTTGAACAACAAC